AAGGCATCTGCCACAGTGTTGTTCTTCCCGACATATGGCGTATATCCGATGTAAACTGTGAAACGTAGTCCAGTTGTCGTGATACTCTAGGTGAATACTCAACTGAAGTTGAGTTCAGAGAGTACGTCAGAGATTTGTGGTCTGTGAAAATTATAAATCCACAACTCTCTACTGAATGTCTTAAGTGGCGTATACCATAATACATAGGCAGAAGTTCCTTGCCGAATATGCTGTACTTTGTTTTCGCTAATTGTGGGCACTCGAGAAAAAGGCGAGTGGTTGCCACTCATTGTTGGCTAGTTGTTACAGAGATGCGCCGATTGCAGTGTCTGATGCATCAACCACGACACTTAACCGTGCCGTTGGATCTTGATATATAAGAATTGAGGCACCCGCGATAGCTTATTCAACCTAAGTAAAAGCATTTTGAGCAGACTCGTTGAGTTCGATGGACTCGTTACTCCCTCAAAGAAGGTGTGTTAATGGCTGAATCAGAGAGGCACAGTTGGGAATAAACCATCGGTAATAAGTAACCAAGCTGTCGGATGTGTGGATAGTTTTCACTGTATGTGGCTCCGAAAAGTTCAGTATCGCCTCAACTTTACTAGCAAGTGGGCGGATACCCTTGCAGTCAGTGGTGTGGCTGAGAAAGTCGAGTGAGCCTACACCTATGTGATTCTTTTAAATATTAATGGTAAAACCATGTCGGCGTAACTTCTCGAATGTCAAGTTCAAACGTCTAGGGTGAGTTATCTTGTCTGGACTGGCAGTGAGGCAGTTGTCTGAAGTATGCGTTTACAAAGTCGGGACCGCTAAATACTTTGTCATCGAGGCGTTGTAATGTTTGTGCTGCATTCTGCCGCTAACGCGTGCCGGCGGGACAGTTTCCATAGTCTTAAAGCAAAAATACAAGGTTTTCTGCAACCTTTCGCTTCCTGACCATTGGTATTGTGATACCAACAACAGTAGGATTTTCTAAGTGAGCGTGACTTAGAATTTGACCGCCCAGGTGGGTTTCGCCGTTGACGAGACCTCGTTCGATGATAGGACAAATTAAGAAGATTATTTGACTTAATTAGTTTCTGTACAGAGTTGCACAACTCCATCACTGCAGTGTCCCTACTTGAAGCCTGTTCATTATTATTATCATTGTTATTATTGTTCCCTTGGGTTCCTAGTGGAAAATAGGGCTTCAGATGCACGTCTCCACTTGTCACTTCTGTCTTCTTTCTGCTGTACTTTTCACATGCATCCATGTTAGTCCGTACTATTTCAACTCCTCTTCACACCATCTCCTCCTTGTCACCCTTGCACTGACGTCCCACTAACCGCTTCCCTTTCGGCCTGGTTCCACTCGAGCAATTGCCTAACGCGCGATGTCACCGACCGGCCTCGTCAACGAGTGTGAAATCCATCTCCACTTTCTCCTGCATTTTTGTTGGGCGATTGGTTCTTGTTTTGTTTGTTCCCATAGTTTCTTGTTGGTGATTCTTTCTGGCCCGGCCATCTGACCTTCAGCACAGGGCGAAGACAGTTGTTGATGAAGGTCTGCAACAGGCTGTTAGAAATGTTCTTTGTGACCAGCCCGTCAAGTTTCTGATCCGAATAGAAGAGCTGACTGACTTGACGTTTGTATTGAAAATCCGACTGGATTTTGTTGTTGATGCTGGATGAGTGACGAAGATTTCCAGATTAGTTTCAGTCAGGTGGAGGAATGTGTTTCTCGCCTTCCCGATTCTCGCTCGATTTGACATCCTCGTCCATTCTGACTGCCTGTAGTTGAGACAATGCTCTCTAGATAAGTGAATGAAGTAATCTCTTTCAAATCCCTCCCGTTGATGGTGATTGACGCTGGATGTTACTGCTGCCACTGTTGGTGGTGGTTGGTTATTTTCATAACCTCCGTCTTGTCTATGTTCACTTGGAGTCCTGTCTTCGCCGGCTGCTTCTTCGACCAGTTTGTCGGTTTTCGCTTGTAAGTCTTCGATTTTGTGTGACATCAAGCACATATCATCCACGCGCGAAATCCAGGTCTTCTAGGTCCTTCACGTCGGTCCGGGATATTCCTGTCTTCTCGTTTCCCACTGTCTGACGCCTAATCCAGTCCACCACAATCAGGAATATCATTGGTGATAATAAGCACCCTGTGTTTACTCCAAACGCCTCACTGAGTTTTCCGTTGTGAGTCACTTGACATGTGCCGTTGTCGTACAGCTATTTAATAAGGTTGATGAATATCTGGGGCACTGTGCGCCGTAGTACTCGAGTAGTTTCTAAATTACTTTGTGGTCAACGTTGTCGGAGGCCTTCTCAAAGTCTGTATAGTTGAGGTACAGGCTTGATTGCCATTCCATGCTTGTTCTGTGATGATGGTGCGTAGAGTTGTAATTTGGTCAGTACATGATTGGCCCTTCCTGAATCCAGCTTGTTCTGGTCGGAGTTCTGTCTCCAGTGCGTCTTTTATTCTCTCCAGAATGATGCAACTCAGGATTTTACTTGGCGTCGACAGGAGTACGATTCCTCGCCAGTTCTTGCAGAGCCCTTAGTCGCTCTTCTTTGGTAATTTCACGACAGTAGGCACCTTTCCCTCCTTCCAGACCTTTTGCAATAATGGAGTTAGCATGTCTGCTATAGTCTCCGGGTCCGCTTTCAGTGCTTCAGGGGGTATTCCATCTGGTCCAGCTGCTTTTCCAGCTTTCAGAAGCTTGATTGCATTCAAGACTTCAGCTTTCGTTGGGGGATTGGTGTCAACTTGCAGTTTTGTACGTGCTGTTGTTGGTATTTCTGGACAGGTTGCAGGTGGTGGTCGGTTCAAGAGTCCTTTGAAGTGCTCCGCCCATTGTTTAATCTGTTTTTCTTCCTTGGTAATTTGGTTCCCTTGGCTGTCTTTAATAGGTTTCACTTGTGTTGATCTCTTCCCGAATAGAGACTTGGTTATCTGATATAGTGTCCTCAGGTCCCTTTTGCCTGCTGCCTTCTCAGCTTCAGTGGTCAGGTTGTCGTAGAATCGTCTTTTGTTCTTCCTAGCACTCTTCTTCACTTCTTTCTCCAGTGCTTTGTAAGTTGAGCTCATCGTCTCTTTCTCCTGTCCGTACTTGCATTGAATCATTTTCTCTTTCACCATTCTCCTCTCTTCTATTAATTTCCAAGTGTCCGTTGAGAGCCATTCCTTGTCTCGTCTCTTCTTTCTTCCTAGAACCGTTGAACACGTTTCGTTGAGAATCGCCTTCAGAGACTTCCAATGTTCTTCCACGCATGATTCTTCAGTGATGTCGCGTAGTGTTTCCTGCTTTGCTCTGACAGTTGCAGTGAAAGTGTCTTTTGTGGTTGTGTCCTTCAGTAATTGAATGTTGAACTTGCATTGTGGCCTGTCCCCAGCTATTCTCGAGGCTTTTAGTTTCACCTTGAAAGTCCTTTGTACTAGATAGTGGTCTGAACCCACATCTGCTCCTCTCCTCGACCTTGTGTCCGGTAGGCTCCGTCTCCACTTCCTTGGAATTGAAATGAAGTCTATCTGGATTTCGGTGTGTCCATCTGGTGAAATCCATATCGTCTTGTGTATATCCTTGTGCTTGAACACACTACCACCAATCACCAAATCATTGAAGGCGCAGAAATCTGAGAAGAGTTCACCATTGTCGTTCATTTCACCGAGGGCCTCACGACCCATGGTGAGTTCTCTTTCTGTGTTGTCTCCTCCCAGCTTCGCACTCATGTCGCCCATCAGGATTTTGATGTTGCGATTTGGGACGTTGTCCATTATTGCTTGTAGTTGTCTGTAGAACGCCTCCTTCTTCTCTTGTTCTGAGACGTTTGTAAGCGCATAGCATTGAATGATTTTAACCTTCCTTTCTATTGAGTTGAACCTGGCTGTCATTATCCTGGAGGAGATTGGTTCCCACTGCATGAGAGCTTTGGTCGCTGTTGGTGACATCATGATGGCTACTCCCTCGGTGTGCTCATGGTTGTCCTCTGGGTGGCCGGAAAAGATTACTGTCTCTCCAGTAGGTAGTTGGCACCTTCCAGTTCCGTTCCATCTGCTTTCGCAGATTCCCAACACTTCTATTCTGTACCTTCTCATTTCAGCGGCTATCTGGGCAGGCTTTCCAGTTTCGTACATTGTACGAACATTCCACGTCCCAAACCTTATTTTTGGTTTCGTCGAAAGAAGGCTGATCGGGTGAGTGGCTTCCCGAAGGCTTTCACCAGCCTGCGTCATTTCACTTCCCAGATTCCAGAGAAAAATAAGGTTATTGTTTGTATTTTTGGTATTTTCAGATATATTTATGCGTTGAAGCTTCTGTAGCAATTTAGTTAGGTTTTGGGGGTGGAGTTACTAGTACCACGCCCCGACTCTCCCTCTTTATCCGGGCTTGGGACCGGCTAGAAAACTAGCGAGCTAGTAATCTAGGCGAGGTTGAAGTCTGTTGAGCTACTGAGCAATTTTAAATTCACTTGTGGATGATGCACTTCTGCAATGGCTCCGTTTCCCCGAAAACGTTTTGACCTCTAACATAACCCAGGCGTAATGTTGCTTCCGTTGACTTTATGCGGCTTTTGTATGGGCTTCCAGATTTAAGATCCAGATTTGTGATAGGACAGCGAAACTGAATGCATTTATATAAGCTTTCCACAGGTTTGGTCTAGTTAAGGCTTTGGTCCAGAACACTGCGTCATGTGTTAACTTGAAGATGTGAGAGCAATAGTGTTTCCCTGGAACTGAGAGTTTCACGTCTTAATTAATGTAGACGTACGCTAAAAATGTTCGGGCCAAAGCTGGTGTAGCGGAAGTTTCTACCAGCTTATGATAGAAGGAACGGCTCACTCTCATGAAAGTAAGATATTTTTCTGATTAAAAACCGTTTTCAAGGTTCCAATACTGTAAAAGCTCCTATTTATTACTTTTAGCGGAGGTATTTGAAGCTGAATTAACAGAGCACAATTAAGACATTGAAACACACTGAAGGTCGTGGTCTATTTTGAGTTAGTTCGGTGCACAGATGGATTCTATGAAGGGTTATCTATATAAGTGGACAAACTACTTGAAAGGATATCAGAAGCGTTGGTTTGTGCTGCAGAATGGTTTGGTATCATACTACAGGTATAAAGTAGCATTTTAATTTTTTCACAATTACTAGAAATCAAGCAGAAATGGCTCACACATGTCGTGGCACTATCAACCTTGCTAATGCCATTGTGAAAAGCACAGGGTCTACTACGTTTGTCATTTCCAATAGTAGTACACAAACTTTTCATCTGAAGGCAAATTCTGAAAGTGAGCAGAAGAAATGGGTATCCGCCCTTAGTTCTGCTAAAGCAAAAGCAGTGGCTTTAAGAAAACAAGGTGAGATATGGAGTTTTGTCATTGGTTTTATTGCGTTCAAGTATATCTGTGATTTAGTACCGCTGTATGTCTTTCACAAGATTGACTACCTAGGTGGTATGGAATCCAAATAAATCTAAATTTAATCGTCTTATGGGGCGTTAGAATATCCATGTACGTCCTAGCTCTGTAGTACACAATATAATCTTACTTCATAAGTGGATTAGTCGTAGTCTTGGTTGGGCAGTAGAATAGTAAGTTGTTCAGTACAGAAAGGTATTCAACCTGTTCAAGTTTCTGAGTATAGTGTAGTCATTTTGTCAGATTAGAAACTGAGTAATCTCAGTGAGCACTATGTTCAGATATTGAGCATTTAGTCCGCGAAAATACGTAAGTTGTTTGCTTAATATTACGCTTTATCTTATGTTCGCCTATCAGTGACATCTATCGTCGCGGTACTCAGTTCTGTATCGTGTATGTCTGTGTAACCTTTGCTTGCACCAAAGTTATAATTCACTTATGCTGATATTGTAGTCGTGTACAAAAATTAAGACGTAAATGCCTATTTTTGTTCTTAGATGCTCTGTATGTATGCTACTAAATATTCATGCCTTGTCTTCACTTACTCGTAATTCTGTATGTATATATCTTTTCGCCACATCTCATTTTACCATCCGCAATATTTCTTTTTCGCTGTTGTTGTACCTTGATTTTCATGCAAAACGATTATCCGTTAGTGTTGACGCAACTCTAACCTGTACTCAACGGTGCATTCATTCGAGTTGCTCGACTTTTATGTAACACATAAAGGGTTGATAGATGAAATGGCACTAAAGTGAACAAACGTGTTAAGAAAGAGGCAATAAGTAGGTGAAATCGACTAAGATTGTATGTAGCTACTATTATGTATGATTGTAAGCCATTATTAAAAGTGTTAAACCGATCATTCCTAATGTCTTGAGTCTTCTACTATTTCAAATCCTGGCTTTGTAATGTTCGTGTATGAACTGAGAGAGCAAACAAAGCTATCAGCTATGTATAGTATCAGTGGTAACTTACTGCAACTACTCAGCAATAATCCGGTTAAAAATAACTTCACCTAAACTCCTGTGTCTCATATAGGCATATATACGATATGTTTAAATATAGGTGGATAATGACCAATAGTGTTTTGTGGTGATACGTCACAGAATAGCTCATCATAGTACGAGTGTATTCTTCAACTAAAAGTCAAGCAACTAGAAACTGTTGCTGACACTGTTCAAATCTTTCACAGTAGGGTGATTGTGCGTAAGTATAGAGTATATATTGTAATCATAGTGAATTTTTTAAATAACTTCCCTAATTAGGTATTGTTTTTTCATAATTGAAGTTCCGTAGACTTTTTTGTAGTTAGCGGTTCCATATATGAACATTACATGCTTCCAAAATAGATTTCAAGTTTTGATAATTATGTAGTACTGATATAATTCACCCCATATATTGTCAGCTATCCGTAATAGTGGCTGCATGCAAATGGTCACATGCTGTTTGTCTAATTGTTGAATTTTTATCGAAAAATTCTTGTTATTCCTTTGTGTTAAAATAAATTTCAAGTTTTTAATAAACAATCAAAGCACGCGATTACTTTGCCAATATCCTTCATAGGAATAGTTCAACTATTATTATTTTTTTACAATTATTGTCATTGCCTTAGGTTTCGAGTGGAACAGATGGTTTCAACACCACATCTCCATTTTGTCTTGTTCTCTTCAGTCCCCTTAAGCTAGCCCCACTATTGGCCATTAGCTACCATCTCCTCACATGACCTCTGCCATGTCACTTTCGGACGGCTTACTTCATTTCCCACTCGGGCTCCACTCAAGGCTGAGGCGTGGTCCGCGATGTCACCCGATGGTCTCCTCAGCGTTTGTCCAATCCATCTCAATTACCTTCGGCATATCTATTGAGCAACAGGCTCTTGGCTGGTCCGTTGTCAGGGTTTTTTGTTGCTAATTCTTTTTGATTGGACATTCGATCATCAGTATGGAGCGAAGGCTGCTGTTGATAAAGGCTTGCAACCTGTTAGGAATCCTTTTCGTGACACGTCATGTTTGTGACGTATATGGAAGCACCGACTGACTTAACATCGGCGTTGAAAACCCGATTTGCATCCTTTCTGCCGAATGTACCGGATTTCCGAACTGATTTCAGAGTGATGAAGGTCTGTCTTGCCTTTCCGATTCTGCTTTCGAAATTCTGATCCGTGCCGCCTGTAGCTGAAACGATGATACCTAGATGAGTGAAGGGAGTCACCTCTGTCACTTGAAAGTGATTGGTGCTTGTCGCTTTTGGTTGGTTGCTTCTATCACCTCTGTCTTCTCTATGTCCACTTGAAGCCCTGTCTTCGCTGCTTCTTCAGCCAATTTGTTGGTTTTTGCCTGTAAGTCTTCAAGTTTGTGTGACAGTAGACATAAGTCATCCGCGAAATCCAGATCTTTCAGAATCATCTTATCGGTCCATCGTTTGTCTTCTCGTTCCCCAGAGTCTTCCGCATAATCGAGTCCACCAGTCAGTAGTATCATCGGCGATAGTAGGAGACCTTGTCTTACTCATGTTTTCATTTCAAACGCCTCGTCGGGGTTTCCGTCGTGGATCACCTGACATGCAACCGTGCTATATGGCTGTTGAATGAGGTTGCTAAACAGTTTGCGGCACTCCATAGTGTTGAGGCAGTTTCCGAATTACTTCTCGGTGGAAACCGTCGAAGACCTTTCCGAAGTCGAGGAAGTTTAGGCGGAGTTTTGATTACCATTCTGTGCTCCGTTCTGCGATAACTCGTGGTGCTGTAGTTTGATGAGCACATGACTTGCTTTTCCTGAATCCATCTAATTTCGGGCAAAGCTCTGCATCCTGTGCATCTTATATTCTCTCCATGACGACGCGACTTGGTATTTTGTTTGGTGTGGATCAGAACATTATTCCACGCCAGTTCTTGCAGAGGAATGAGTCACCCATCTTCGGTAATTTGAAAAGATAACCTTTCTTCCGATCATTAAGCAGCTTTCCTTCCTTTCAGACGTTTTGCAATAATGACTTCATCATACACGCTACTATGTTTGTGTCCGTCTTCAGTGCTTCAGGGAGAATTCTGTCTGGTCCTGCTGCCTTCCCGGACTTCAGTAGATTGATCGCATTCAATATTTCTGCTTTCGTTGGAGGACTGGTTTCTATTGGCAGTACTGTAGGTGCTGGTGGTGGTATTTTTGGATGATGGTCGATTCAAGAGTCCTTTGAAGTGATCAGCCCATTGTTTTAATTGTTTCTCCCCCTTGCCAATTAGGTTCCATTGAACATCCTTTGTAGGTTTCTCCTGTTCTGATCTTTTCCCAGATAGAGACATGGTTATCTGATATAGTTTTCTGAGGACTCATTTACATGCGGCCTGTTCTTCTTCAGTTGTCAGTGTGTCGCGGATTTTGTCCCTCCTAGTACTCTTCCTTACTTCTTTGTTCAGTGCAGTGTACATTAAACTTAACCTCATCTTTGCATTGAGTCATATTCTCTTTTACAATCCTTCTCTCTTAAATTCCAGGTGCCCGTTGAGAGCCATTTCTTATATTGTCTCTTCTTTCTTCCTAGGATGGCTATGCATGTCCCCTTGAACATCACCTTCAGAGAATTCCAGTGTGCTTTCATCCAGGCTTCCTTCGTGATGCCACATAGTGTCATCGACTTTTCTCTTATTGCTGTAGTGAAAGTGTCTTTCGTAGGTTCGTCTTTCAGTTTCTGAGTGTTGGACATAGATTGTGGTCTGAAATAGATATCGGCAGTTTTGTGTATATCCTTGGGATTGTACACATGGACTCCAATCACCAAATGATTGAAAGTTCAGAAGTCTGTGGAGAGTTTTTTGTTGTCATCCGTTTTGCCGAGGGAGAGCCTCTCGACCCATGATAAGTTCTCTTCCTGCATTGTGTGCTGCCAGTTTATCATCCATATCACCCCTAAAGACTCTGATGTTGTCATTTGGGAAGTTATCCATTACTTTTTGCATTTGTCTTTTCTGAATAATTTTTGGGTGCGTAGCATTGGAGACTGGTAAACCACCTTCCTTTTGAGTTGAGTCTTAATGTCATCATCCTTGAGGAGATTATACTATTACATAAGAGCTTTGAATGGCACTGGTGACGTCATGGTAGCCACTCCTTCAGTGTGGTCGTGGTTGGCGCTAAGTGACCGGAGAAGATTACTGACTCCAGTTGACAATTTCGATAGTCCACATCCATTCAACCTGCTCTCACATATTTCTTGCACTTCCATGCATTATTTCGTCATTTCTTTGATTACCTGGGTAGCCTTCCCAGCTTCGCACACTATACGAACATTCCATGTCCCCATTCTTATTCTTGCTATCATTGAGAGAAGACTCTACAGCCGGTTGGCTTCTCGGAGGCTTTCACCAGCCCATATGTTTTCTTCTCTCCGAATCCAACCAGAAGTAGGTTTGACTTTTTATATTTTTGTTATGCTTCGAAGTTCCTGTAAAGTCTGGATTGATTTTACGGAGTAGGGTCGCTAGACTCATGCCGGACAGGTTAGAAAATTAGGGAATTAGTGTAATAGGAGAGATTATAGTTCAATTAGCGTATGTCTAAATGCCAGCCACTCACTAATTTGGTGCAACACGATAAGAATATAAATTCATCTACCTTAAGATAACATAGATAGTAGATAAAATAAAAATAAAGGTAAACAGCAATAGCTAATTACCTTCAGAGGTGTTCAGAACTAAAAATTGTTGGCCAACCTAATTAGTGTATAATACTTATAAGAGGAATGAAGATTGTGATACAGTACTAGTTTTGACTAATAAGAGTTCTAGACATTATCGAGAAGAAATATTCTCTTGTTATAACTACAAAGAAGTTGACTTGGATGGCGTAGTATCCAAAACTTATTTGGTTCTTGTTTATTATGAGCCTAGTAGTGGGTAATTAAACTTTATGGATTCAGAAATGTATCAGGCATAAATAAAAGTG